TGAGCAGGCTGATATTAATTAAGACTACCTTCTGCAGAGTCATCATCATATAGCATTAGATTATTCAATAATTTGCATTTTTTGAAATACATTAGGGTTTCGAGCTCTGTATCAATCTAAAATAATGACAAACTGTTGTTATATTACAAGATGAACATGGCTTGACATGTTTGTACGAATAAAAAGTTAAACATTAAAAACTATATTTTAAATTATCTTAAATGCAAAAGAAAAAAAAAAAGAAAACTCACTCTGCACGTTTTTGGTGGCCATTGTTCTTTTCGAAAATTGTATCACAATTCGAACAGTTCGGACTTCAAGGGACCCGTCGATGGACGAACGCGCGCGACGACTCGTAGGCGACTGCTACGTTTGTGCTACGAAACTCCCGCGCTGCTATTATTAGCCGAAGTATTATCGGGCTTATTAACACCGTAATACAACTATTATTGTAATGCGGACGCGTGCGGTGCGCGCAATGTTCGCACTGAGAGTGACACTGGTCCCGGACTGTTTTTATAAACTGGGTCCCGCCGTCAGTAAGTAGTAAATTGTTGAATAAACAACGCCTCGTCCGCCGTCGGGATCGCCCGCTTAGTTCACTTACAGGAATAATCCGAGCTACGTAACATCACTTATTACGACTGTCGAGGCGACCACGCTTGGTTGGCGGAATGATCTTACCACGCGCTAGCAGTCAACGCGCGAACAGTTCTCAATTAAAATGCTATTGTTGTCGTATCCTATAACTGTTAGACCATGCTTTATCTAAACTACATTTATTATTCTGGCAATGGGACTGTTTATTTAATAATAAATGCTTAAGAAGTTATCGAAGCAATTTATTTGTTCCTGTGGCATGGTGGGACAAGAGTTCATATTATCTTAAATAATTAGCCGCACCCGTCCAAGAAATTCGTAGGTATAAAGTTACCTTACAAACCTTACAAAGGTGAGTTCAGTTGTCTCAGTTACCAGTGGAACTGACGAAGAACAAACTCTTCTGTATTGCCGGTCTTGCCGCTTCAAACAGACAGAGCAAATTTTGCGAATAGTCTTCTTTGAATTAATTTTATTTTCGCTAATCTTTTGATAGCAATACATTTTGTCAGTGCGATAAACTGCAGATAGGTAATGGGTAACATTACAAAATCATTTAAAATACTCATTATAATTGTTTTAATCTATGTGTTGCTGATAAATGGAATTATCAATTCAAAAGACACGGAAATTATAAATTGCCACAAAATGACCGGTTTATTTTCTATTACTATTAAATAGCCTGTCATTAGTGGTTATGGACGATAACGAAAAACAATAATAAGTAAATATAAAACCAATTTTCCTTGACTTCCATTAGAATCTATTGGCAGCAATAAAAAAACTGTTAATTGAAGATAAAGGTATTAAACCCTAATCACTGTTGTCTTTATCATTGAGTAATATAAAATTGTTTATTTAAAAATGCTTACTGGCAATCTAGCTCGATTCGCCCAATTGTTCACGGCAAATTTCTGTCAAAATATACTAAAATAATGTTAAAAATACTAACAAAAGTCAACAAAAACATAAACTAAAATATACCGTGCGTGATACAAATCTATAAATTTACAGTATGAATATGGTTTAAAATATCAACAACGGTTTTCATAGGTAAATATCGATTGAAATGATTTAACAATGCTAGATTGTATCGAAGACAATCATTTATATTTATAATACGTAGGCAGGATGATAAGTAACTAGCCATTGCTATTTAAAAAGTTAAAATTAAAAAAATATATGTGTCATTTTTAAATTCGTATCTCTGGCCACCTGTGTTCTAAATTTGAATTAGGTGGCGTGAAAATTTTATTGTTTTTTTGTCATTTGAAAATATATTTCGTCAACTATTTTCAAAATGGATAAAATTGAACAGAGAGCGGTGATAAAGTTTCTTCATATGAAGGGGATGAAGGCGAAAGATATCTATGACGAGTTAAAGAATGTTTTGGGTGAATGTGCTCTTTCTTATGCCACAGTAAAAAACTGGGTGGCTGAGTTTTAAACGAGGTCGTACATGTGTCCAAGATGAAGCCCGCCCCGGACGTCCAAAAAGCGTTACGACTCCGGAAATGGTCGTGAAAGTACATGATACGGTTTTAGCAGATCGACGATTGAAGTTATCTGAAATAGCTGACACTACAGGTATCTCAAAAGAACGGGTACATCATATCCTAAGTGAGGAATTAAATATGAAAAAGTTATCGGTCCGTTGGGTGCCGCGATTGCTTACGCACGATCAAAAAAGGATTCGGGTGCAAAACTCAAAAGAATGTCTGGACCGTTTTCAGAGTAATAAGGCCGATTTTTTACGTCGATTTGTAACAACAGATGAAACATGGGTTCATCATTACACGCCAGAATCAAAAATTCAATCAAAACAGTGGACTCAATCGGGATGCCCGGCTCCAAAAAAAGCCATGGCTGTAAAGTCTGCTGGAAAAGTGATGGCTTCCGTCTTTTGGGATGCAGATGGGATTTTGATGATAGATTACCTTGCTAAAGGTCAAACAATTAATGGTGAATACTACGCTAATCTTCTTGATAAGCTTCATCAATGTACTCAGCAAAAACGACCAGGTTTGGTGAAAAAAAAATCATCTTCCATCAAGACAACTCTAGGGTTCACACAGGTGTTAAAGCTATGGCAAAAATCAACGAATTGAAGTATGATTTGCTGCCTCACCCACCTTATTCGCCTGATCTAGCGTCATCAGACTTTCACTTATTCCCTAAGCTCAAAACTTTTTTGGGCGGACAGAAATTTGCCACAAATGATGAAGCCATAGCCGCCGTAGAGGAGTATTTTGCAGGCCTCGAAAGAAATCATTTTCTGGAAGGCATTACTGCTTTAGAACGAAGATAGAATAAGTGTGTAGCGGTTCACGTAGAGTATGTCGAAAAATAAAATTAATTTTATCACGGAAAGTTAAGTGTTTTCTTATTAGGCTAGTTTTAATTTTTCACAATGTTTGGAATCCGTATTCAATTTAAATGTATTTGTGTTGTCTAACAAAAAGTTCACTCCAAGATTAGTTTAAAATTGGCGCGAAGCATAATTGAGATGATCAGTTTTTATCTTTCCGTTTACGGGTATTCCGTTCAGTGCGATGGATTTGCTAAAAAATATAGATTAGTTGCACCAAATCGTGTACCTAATATCAAGACTTAGAATATTATCGTTACTAAAAACTTATCTCAAATGTGCCAATTCGATAAAAAGTTTTTCATATATTTTTATCTCATTTTTTTTTTTCAACTGAAGCCTTAATGTTTATTAGTGGCAAGTATGGATAAGCTATTTAAAAAAAGTTAAATGTTAAATAACTATTGTTATGTTATTTGAAAGGACTAAAATTATTATATTTATTTAGAATTTGCAGTGATAATAACGCTTAGTAATTTTTGTATCGATCGAAGAGTCATGTCATGAGAACTTTTTGTTTAGAGCAAAAAATGTCCGAGGAAGGTGAGAACGTAAACACGGCCAAAAAAAATAAAGGACGGAAACACTAATTGTATACAAAGGATTAAATTCACATGTACAGATTTCGTGGAGACGTTTTTAAAATATTACCACTGGTGCATTATTGTGAAATTTATAGGCTGCCACTTTGCTAGAGTTTTTTATGTTAGAAGGTGGTAACCGAGCTAGTTCACCTGATTTTAAGTGATAACCGCTACCCATTGACATTTGCAACACCCGTAGGGTTGCAGATTCGTTGCTACCTTTTTTATGAAGTGGGGCCGGTTACCTCACCAGACGACATGCAGACATACATGTATAATACTCACAACTCACGCTGGTCTTCTGTGAGGTCACGGTACTTCCCTGGACGGACCTGCTCATTCGTGCAACAGCAAAGACTATTGCGAGGCCCTATCACCAATTATTTATTTAAATGAAAACAATACAACATACAGCAATGGCTATCTTATCGTAGAATAATATCGCTGAATATGCCCGTCATTAACGTAACATATATCATTACAAGTAATCATTAATTCGCAAATCCTTTTTACATGTTACTAGGCCTTCCATTACTTTGTGTTCTACTCATGTTGTTAAATTAAACGTAAGCGTGAAATGTGAATCGTTGTAGATAAAATGGACAAAAACTTTCGATGCTGCGGGGTTTTGTGGCCATTTATGTACAAAAAATCGCTTTTTAGGTTTCATTTTGAGTTTTAGCATTACTAGAACTAAAAATACAATTAATCATAAACACCAGCAAAAATACTTTATACGTAATCGATTCAACAATATTACTATCTTCATAATTTCATAACGATAAGATGAAGATAAATTTCAGATATTCTTTTCGAGTGATATAAACTCTAAATTTAGTTAACAACCGTTTTAAATATTACGCGAGTATAGTCGGGGACAGCAATTGAGTGAGTTATTAAGTGTTGAAGAACGCAATACAAATGCGTGTTATACATTTCAAATAGCTCCTAAATATATTTAAAGATACCGACATTAACAAGATGTTCTTACGACTTTTTCCTGATGGACGTTTCAACAATATTAGGTCCCAAACACGACGTGCACTGTACACAGATGTGAAATAGTAATTCTGTATGCTGCTGTGATTCGATCTCATGACCTTAAGATCACAGATCCATCACCTCAGCCACAACTCCATCACCAACTCATATACAGTTAAAAGTACATAATATCTATTATTCGTATGAAAGTATCGTTTAAGCAATGGTTGGGTTTTTCACTTATCGTTTCACAGTTAAGAAATAATCCAAGATCCTAGTTTTTTTTTTAATTCGTAGTGAATGGACCAAGAGCTCATAAGGATACCGTCATCTTTATCATAAGATGCAGCCAGCAAGACAAAATCTTGTGATTACGGCAAATAAAAATATCTTAATTTACAATGTAATGACTTTACTTCGGTCTTATCTAGAGCAACCACGGACTATGGTTGGATGGTAATAGCGGCATGGTTTATGCTCCATACCATCAGATTAAAGTGATAAACTCGCACAGAGATATTTTATGGCGTCCAACTCCATTTTCCTGGTGAGAATTTTTAGTTAATTTATTTTTAAATAGATCCCGCAAGCATATGCACGTTGCTTATTTTTTTTAAAGCAAATGGCTGTTTTGCATTTGTGGTAAGTGATTAATTTAGCACACATTGGTTCACTACCATGAGAGATTTGCGTGAAGATTTCTGTTAATGTGGTAAAGCAAACTATGTAAAACCCGAACAGAATTATTCGACGGCCTTAAGGAAGATCGGTATAAAACAGGAGTATTTATATTTGTGTTGTATTTACAGGAGTATTATATTGTCGAGTTAATGACTCGTTGGTGCTATTCCTGTTGGCTTTGGCACCAGGGCTTGTGAATTCGATTTACACTCTAGAAAAGTATTTGTAATACCCTCAAGTAATTTTCTTAATCTGGATGTTTCTCCACATTCTACACTATGGTAGGTCAACGCAACAGCTTATGTTGCTCGAATGGGCGGGAGCGTTCGGGGAAGTACCACGGCCACACAGAAAACCGAGGTGAAGTGGACGCATTAAACTTATGCATGTCGTCTGGTAAGTGAGGTAGCCGGGGCCGACTTTTTTAAATGTTGGCAACTCGTCTGCTAGCCGTCGGGTGTTGTAGACATGGACTGTGTTACTCAGCATCCTAAGACCTTAAGACATAGGATGTTGTTATCCTGAAGTAAGCACAGTACATATTTATAGAAAATAAATAAAAAATGAGTGTTTAGCAACGTGTTAAGCAAACTTAAAAAGTAGTTTCAATCCATATTGCATTAAAATTCGTTCAAACTTTCGTAATGAAGAGGTAACAAAATACACACCGATTTTCATTTATCATATTATATCATCGTGCGATGTAATAACGTCTTAGAAAACATAAAAAAACATTGTAAGTTGAAAAAAATTAAACTAAATATTACTTACACCGATACTATTTGTGTACAGGAGTGGAATGTGGTTCACGTAGGAGTAGATGTTATGAAAGATGCTCTCATATCCTCAAAGCATTTAACTCCCACGTCTCGCATTAGAGTCCCCGAGTTCTACGAGCACTTTATTTACTATTATTCACATTGACTACAGTTTCCTCTTCCTTTTGTTGTGAAATATAATTTAATTCATTCATCTGGGTTACAATGCGCAACAATTCTGTGCTCCAATTTTACTTGTATTCCTTTCGCTTCGTGTAAACGAAATGTTTGAAAGTTAAGATACGTCGTATTGTTAAATAATTGCAGTTTTTTTAAAGATTCGCAAAGTAAAGTCGGTATCAAATAAACTTTTGTGCTAAATTTTAAATGCATTCTATCATTTCTTCTCATCGTCATCCTCATTATTTCAGCCTGTTCGAGTCCGCTGCTGAACGTATGCATCTCCCACGGACCGCATCGAAGCGCGATCCTAAGCCACCAGCATACATCGGCATCGCCTTCCCGTACGCTGGCACAGGTTTGTCACTCCATCTACCTAGGGAGGTTGTCTTACACTACGACAGTTTCTTCACAATTTTGTTAAATTATTAAATGATGCAAATTCAACTTAAAAAATGATATTCGGCACTCGAAGAGGTTTAGGTGTACGTTACATTGCTCTTTTTTATGTGAGAAGTTGGCGAGGGAGCTGGCGTTTCACCTCATGCTAAGTGACAAGTGCCGCCCATGGACTTTTGCAACTTTATAACAAAGTGGGCCTCGGCTACCTCACTCACCAGACAAAACGCAGAAGTACTTCCACTTTTTTGGTCATTGGCCTTTTGTTAGGCCTTACCCCGGCGGAACAGACCAATCGTTTAACAGTATAGACTGTTGAACGAGTGTAGCGAAGCGTAGCGTGGCGAGTAAAAGTATTAATTCTTCTTAATAAATGAAATATTCCGTGTCGTGCGCACTAATTACCACCGCGGTCGAAGAAACACTCACAACTTTATAATATGAAATGGAAAATAGAAAAGTAAAAGTGACTGATCCAACCGAAACGTTTAAAGTGGATTCTATTATTGTTAAAACTAGATTATGTAAGTCACCTCTTTCACGAGCATTGCGCAATATCCGTGATGATATTTTTAATGCATCGGCTAGTGTTACGTGTTGGTACATCCGATGCAACGATTTTATCTTAATTCGCAATTTATTAAAATATATATGTTTTATAGACCGCGTATATGTAAGCGGTGTCAAAAAACACGGCGTCCAAAAGGTGTGCAATTGACTTAATTTGTAGTTGTAATATCTATTTAGTAATAGAATCAAAAGCTATGATAGTTTGTATTTATTGTACAAAAACGACATCTCTCTAGTTTTTAAATTAGGCTATGCATTTGCTGTAAAGTAAGCACAAAAGCAAAACAAAGTGTGTAAGACGTCGAGATTTTCGCGCGGTGTGTATGATATCGAGCGCTTAGCTTAGCGGCTAGAGCGCGTAACGGATTACAAAGACGCAAGTTCATATCCTGGCTGCAGTGAAAAATTTATTCTACATTTCAAGTTTCATCTTAAGTGCAAACACTGGAACTAAAAAATGAAATTTGACTATTTTATTATAAGTATATTTTAATAGTGTATGTATATGTAGTAATTATGCTGCAACTTAATATAAACCAGTTATTTTATATTAAAGAATGTAGGAATGCCTAAAGGTGGTATTATACTTTTCATGAATTTCGTGCACAATCTTAATTTTTTTTAAAGTCACGAATATTTCGTTTGATCGATTGGTGTATTTAATAAAGTCAGCGGAATCCCTTAGAGGGCATAGGAGGGAGTTGGTCGAGTTGAATCTCTCCAAATCTTACGAGGGGGAGAAAGGGATCTCAGAAAATATGTCTTGGCTCACAAAAAACTAAAATATAGTTAAATCATATATATATATGATTATACACAACCATGGTAGATGTATGTTATGTATCTATTATTAAAAATTTAATGATATTTTTAAATATGTATTATATATTTAACTTGATTGGGTGACCACAAAATAGTGCAGTAGCCAGTTAGCCTATGTCCAGCAGGGCACTAAAATAGGCTGAAATCATGATGTTGATTATGATGATGCCAACGCCACCTAGTAGCATAGTAGCTCCTCGATTGTTATTGCTACGTAGTACGATCTGAGAGGCATTGACGCACGCTGAACATAATATGAAATATTATGAATTTACAGAAGAAATATGAAATATGATTTCAAGGCAAAAAAAATGAAAAACCCGTCTTCGCATACCACAACCGGCTAAATGCGACACCGTAACGAAATCCCGACGAAAACTTGCTCCAATAACACGCCTATCAACAAAACTGGTTGATTATAATTTCTCGATCGCACGCGATATTACATAAGAGTTACATGAAAGTTTTAGACTGACATTTGATGCAATATTATATGAAAACCAATTTTTAGTTTTTGTGCACCCTATTACTCTCTAGAACTGCATTTCCAATCTGGCAACCTTTTTAACCGACTTCAAAAAGAAAGAGGTTATTAATTCGGATGTTTATATTTTTTTATGTATGTTCGGGCGTAACTTCCTCATATATTGACGGATTTGCAAAATTCTTTTTTTTTTCTAAAAGGTTTCATTCCGAAATGGTCCCATACAAATTTCATACAGATCTGATGATCATTTTCGGAGATAGCAACGGAACTCTTCGAAATATGACAGGAAATCAACCGCGATTGCTGCTATCGCATAAATATGCATTGTTTTGCATGTAACGTTGTAATAGTTACGTACATCATTTTATTTGAAGTCGGTTCTTTTGTTAAAATACTTTCTATACTGAAAATTATTGACAGTATTGTTTCCTCCCATATTTATTAAAAGTTAGCTAAATAATATTGTTGGACTTCTTTTAGATATTATAGTTTTCGACATTCCTTAACGCGGCTTGTGTATGAAGGATGAAGGTGTAAGTTGGAAGAAATCGTCACGTAAAGCAAAATCATCACTAAACATCCTTAGAGAGAAAGCCACTCTCTCTCATTCCCCCCTTTTCGGGAGATTTGTGAGGAAAGTTTCATTATGGTTTTTCGTTCATAATTTATAAACATAATTTTCAACAAATGTACATTTTTCTTAATATTGTAAACATTTATTAGTTATTATATTTTATAGTTTCTATATTAGTTTCTTGTACAGCACGTACCTATCTATTTACTATTTGTGAATGATGTGTTCGCCTGTTATTGATGTGTTCATATGTTAATTTAATTATGTGTACTTCTAACCTTTTATTGTACCTTGAACATTTTTTGGTGTACCTTTTATAAATAAAATAAAATAAATAAAAATAAAAAAAACATTATTTGTACAAAAAATTAAAGAAAATAAAAATTATTTAAAAATTAAACTGACTAAATCGAAGTATTTCGAACATTCGTCGAGTTGGGGAAGGTCAGAATAAAATGATTTTATATTAGATTATTACAAAATTATATGATTAATTTCGGCCGCTAAAATCATTTTTCTATTGTAGTTAATAAATTTTAGGCATTTTTGCAATCATTTCTAAAAATTTGGTAGCAATATCCATTATAATTAAATTAAAAAATATACTTATATATTTAAATGAGTATTAATTTTTCTAGCGATGCGTTTTAAAAAAAACATTAAGAAACATTGATGTCGCATTAACTTTGTGCCATATTTACGTCCGCTGTAACTGAAGAATATGACACATAGACACCATTTTAGGTTTACAAAAACTTGTAGACTACAATTATAATACAATTTATGCTCATCACGGAAACGTTTCTCGAAACAACAAGAGCTAAGTATGATAGACGCAGATGGTATTATAGCGAAAATTATGATATGATACATAAATTGATCATGGTATGTATGTGTAGATATTATAATGATTGGTTGTCAATCATGACTTGCAAGTATAATTCTATAAAATTTATTTGTATATGTTTGTTTATTAGCTGAGCCGGCAAACGTTGTTTTGCCATATAAATTATTTGTAGGGTAGAAAATAATGATTGGAGTAGACCACCCTTAACATTTAGGGGGATGAAAAATAGATGTTGTCCGATTCTCCACCCTGGCCGATTTGCACATAAAATTTCACGAAAATCGATCTTGTCGTTTAGGAGGAGTGTAATGGAAATCCGTGACACGAGAATTTTATATATTAGATTTACTTATTTAAGTGTATCGTGTTTCATTTTGTACCATAAAAAATAAATGTGAACTTTGAGTAAGATTTGTCTAATTAAGAGATCAATCTAAGACGGTAATTACATTGAATTAATTCTGCAACTATAAATATCCTGAAATAATATGAATCGTAGAATAGATTATAACATTTTCAAGAATTAGTACCATATTGACAAATTGTACAACCTATTATTTAACGTATAATTTTAACTAAATTTAAGTTTTAAATATATTGCAAACTTTTTTCTTCACATATTGTGGTCTAATTAAAATATTTACAATGTCCTGTATGTTTTAACTAAGAGCTATAATTAATAATCTCAGAATGTATTGTTATACAAAGTTTTCTAGCCCCAAACTAACTTAAACTTGTACTATATTAGTAACTAAACGATAAACATACTTAAAACATTCGATTCTTTTGTATATAAATATATGTTATACATATGTACACACTCAGACACTAGAAAAATACATATTCATTACACTATTTTTCCAACCCACACCCTAGGGCACAAGTGACAGGTTTACTAAGTCAATCGGGTCGTTAGGTGTAAGATTGAATTTAAAACCAACTAAAATCAGAGTCCATTGAATTAAAAAGCTTAGTGTTATTTGACTGTGTTTGTCTCACATCTCAGTATAAACGATAAATTTCGATCCCCTAGTTACGTTACTTTACTGTTGAACCGAAACTTATAAAAAAACTAGCGACCCGCCCTGGCATCTCACGGGTGCAATGTATTATACATATGAACCTTCCTCTTGAATCACTCTATCTGGTAAAAAAACCGCATCAAGATCGTAATGCATAGTTTGACTGACGACTTTGTTTTATACTATGTAGTGATGTTCAACCGCAACGGCATGTTTGCTACATAATAAACTAAACAGGTTAATGTAATTTATGAGAGGCCACCGAAAAGGTAAGATAATAAGAAACAATGAGTTAGACCTAGAACAAGAACAACCGTAACGTTTATCGCTAAGAAAACATACCTCCCTAATCGAATCACCGTTAAAATAAGCAACCGGTAACATTGCATGGGGTGAAAGTGATAACGGAGTGTGCGATAAGGCAAAAATCTGGCCGTGATAACGTGTACAAAGCGGAGATAAGCAGAGGCGGCGCCATTGTGCTCTACGTACAATGTTAGTATTGCTAATATTTCTATAACGTCCGCCGAAGGCCGTTTGTGCTGCGTGAGATGCTTCTTAACACGACGCTCTTAATATTTACTATATGATTAACAATTAGAGTAATATGAAACGAAGAATTTGGAAATTCGACGGT